TAACGCGTTTACACGTAGATATTATATATATATATTGTGGTGCAGGGTTTTCAAAATGTGTCCTGCAAGGGAGGGACGTATACGTGCGCGCGCGAGTGTGAAAAGGATACTATAATGTATTGTGCACTGGGGTCACATGGTCTTTTTGGAAAATTTTGCACTCTTTCTTTCTTTATATATACCAATAGAGTTTTTGAACCGTGTGGTCAATTTCTTTTGAAAATCTCCAAGTATAGAATAGAATGTGGCCCGTTACGATTCGGTTTCCGTTTTAAATGTGCGCTTCGCGTCGACCTGTCGAAATTTCAAGCGCACACGTATATATATAATATGTATATGTTTTAAAGAAGGGAATGTATACGTGTACATATATATGTATGTAAAACCCTCGACTGTATTGGCTGGGTAATTGGGTTATCCGTCGAGTTTTAATAAAACTAAAGTGAAGCGGCGTCTATGTGTATATAAATTTAATACCCGCACTCCGGAGTACGGAAGAAATGGCTGCATGGAATCGAGGGAAATGCGGCTCGAATGTATATTATATAATACAGGTACCGACTGCAGCTGTGGCGGAATTTAGTCAGCCCTTACAGATGTGTATATATAAAAGGACGAACGACGACAATCTTTTTTTTTTTCTCCATTTATTAAAAATTCATCCTTTCAATAGGTATATTAATTCAAAACTAATTGTCAAGTGACGAGTGTGCACAGCACCGAGATTCGTTCGCCACTTGACCTCCTCCTCCCTCCACCCCCGGAGTCTTAAACGCGCTTTGTTTTTGTCCCACATCTCCACGGGGGTGTTACCTATTTTTTTTTCTTTTTCCAATTCACGCCTCAACGAAATAAATTGTACAACACGAGAGGGAAAAAAAAGAAAAACGCGTTCGCGCGAGATAAACTCATTCCGAAGCCTCCTCCTTCCCTTATATAAATATATATGCATACATTCGCGTTCCTGCAGCTGCTCCGCAACATATAAAATGATGAAATGCAAAATTAATTAAATACCCTCCCTCTCTCGCTCGCGCGCGAAATAATTACTTTTCATTAAAATCGCGCACACGTGGGCGCGAATGGAGTATATATATATATAAAAATAATATATGCGTCCATTGCTAGCGCCGTTCGTTGTTTTGGCTCGTTTTTAAAGAAGTTATCTACATTATTATGGTTCAAATTTCCCATTTTGCTATCTAAGCGCGAACGCCCGCACACTCGTTAATTGGCGCATTCTTATACACACCGTAAACTAATTGCCCTCCAAGCACGGGGGAGCCAATTAAACGAGAGGGGGTGGGGTGGGGTAAGAAAAGTGAATTAACCGTGCAAAGCAGAAGAGTTGTGGAATAACGAAAGGGCCCGAGGTTATATTTAACATAAATTCACGCTTCGCTCGCTGTACACCCACACACGCGCACGTATATGTATGTAAACAGAGCGGGTGCAGACGGACGTACGCCATCCGGAGGTCGGGGAGTCCTTTGAGGGTCGAAAATTCGTTGTACAAACAGGTGACCTGCTCTGGGTGTACAAAAAAAAATAAGGGGAGTTGGGGGCGACCCCCCGCGTATTGTATTATTATACGTTGGTAGCCGAAAACGTGTATGTATATAATATATTATGGTCCAAGTAAGTATTAACGAACCGTTTGTGCATTGTGATGTTTCAGTGAAGCCAAGGATACCGCAACTGGAGTACGGTGGCGCTACGCTGCAGGGGGCGCTGACTCTGCGCGAGGGACAAGAGGCCACCGTGTCCTGCGTATCGAGATACGGCAACCCGCCGGCCCTTTTAAAATGGTAATTTAATGGCTATACATGTATACTTACGTCGGACCACTCTCTTCGCCGCCCTCGCATTCTTCCTTCTTGTTGTTAATACTTTTAACAAATCTGAACTATCCGAAGTAGCTTGTCCCTCCCTCCTCCCCCCCCCCACTCTCATGTTAAAAGGAAAGCCGGTCTATCTCTGGACCCCCCCTCGAGAGAGCGCAACAAGTGTCCCTCTTTTTTCTTCTTGTCCCTCCTTCCCGCATCGCGTTGTTGTGTGTTTCTGGCCGTGGTGTTACGTCGTCGGACTCGTCTTTGGCAACAACAACAATAATAATACCTACTAGTAGAGGACGGTGTATCCCCCACGGAGAAGGTATACAATATATATATTATACACGCGCCCTTTATCTCCTTTGTTAATTCCGACTACACCCGAATGACTATGTGAGCTACTGCTGCGCTTTCTCGTATACTCCAACGCGTGTCCTTTAAGAAATGCGGTGGTCACTCTGTGCCTTTTCGTAACTATTGCGTGACGCCGCAATACAATATACACATATACCTATGCACTATATGGGGGCAGGAAAGTTTTACGGGCGGATTTTTGTTTAATTATGCCGAAGTATATTCCGCGGGTATACATAGGTACGCATTTGTGTCATTTCGCGTAGCGTCTTTAAAACGTGTTGAAAGTAGTAGGGCCCTCGTAAAGATCGCGGGGAAAATATACATGGTGGCTTTGCCCCTCGGAAAAATGTACGTGTAGTCTGAAACTCGTTTCGGCGTGTGCAAAGAGAGGCAGGAGTCATTAAACCGTGCCCCGATAAAAACTTTTATTGTGTTAAAATTGGTCGGATCCTTGCGCGTGTATACGCTTTCTAGCCACCGCTTTTAACGTAGAAACGGGGGATGTAGAGATTTACAGCTTGTTGTAAAAGATGTAATATAGAGTATACATGGGTATTCGTAACGCGCGTGCTTCGAAATATACGATATACCACCTCTCTCGTCCCGCGTACTCTAAAAATCTCGAAAATCCTTCCGAGAATCCTTTTCCACCACTATCATACGTTCATATATATACATGTGCATCTTTATGTATAAATGGGGAAAGGTTTTTCGTCTTCCGTGCCAAATTAGCCCGTTGTGATCGACGTACATAGGTATATATATATAATAGCTCGAGTTTCACCTCAGCGTATATATATATACGCTTCGTTATAGCACGAGACGCGCGCGCTATAACTATTCGTTATGCCTATAATGAACGCAAATTTATTCGCCACCCACCGCGGACAAACAACATATAGATATACGTTACGTGTACATATACTTGATGTAAACCCGAGCTACCGAGAGGGAAACACCGATGTCTAATAACGCGTTTACACGTAGATATAACGAATGTTCGGGTTGACGCCCAGGAGGGAGGGGTGAAATATTAAAGCGCTTAATATTACCGATATTGCAGAGATCGTGGCGCGATGACGCATAAATTTTTAGTCAAGAAAATCTGTCAGCGCCCCGGTTATTGGGTGTTGGGCTACCGTCGCGCGGTTGTATAACTTCTTTTTTTTTTTTATTTTTTTTTTCCAGAGATCTGAAGGACTCCGTGTATAGTGAAAACTTCATTTTTTCTCCCTTTCTGGACTCGACGAAAGAATCCCATAATTGACGCTTCGTGTAAGGAACACGGGGTTGGGGGCTCAAATATCTCCGTAAATCAGCCGTTTTATCTGTTTTACTTGGGCAGTACATTACGTACGAGGATCGAATTTTTCATCGTTTTCCCCCTAAGAGCCACCTTATATATACAGCGCAGGTTCGGAGAGGGGAAAGAAAAAAAAAAAAAATGAAAGAGAACTCGGTCGCCGGGGCCCGTGTCCATAACTCAATAACTCGGGGTAGCTCGGGGAGTCGCGACAATCGGAAGGGAAAGAGAGTACCGGGGAGTTGACTAGGGAAAAAAAAGAAAAAAAATAGCGGCGGGGGAGGGAGCTGCTGTAGGGGGGGGGAGGGACAACAATAGCGCGTCGCGCAAAAAAATGCTGCTCGTCACGACCCTATACGTACAGAGCCGATCGATTGATTCCGCTCTCCTTTCCCATCCATCAAGTGACCGGAGATAAAGATGACAAAAAAAAAAAAAAAAAAAAAAAAAGAAAAGAAACAGTGTGTAGCCGAGCAACCGGAAGATATCGCGCGTCGCGGAGGAACACACCAAACCGGTCCCCATCACGATAATTGAAAAATCCACCTGACGAAATAAATGAAAAAAAACTGCGATGGCGTCGTTGAGGGGGAGTTTGGCGACAATACCGTCTACCGCCCCTCGACGAGTGATCGCTCTTGCGCGAGGAGGAGGAGAGAGAAAACCAGCTCGGAAAGCGGGTTAAGGGAGGAGAGACAATGCAACTTTTTTTTTTTCCACCCGGAGAAAACGCTGAATTATCATTTTCCTCGGCGCGGCAGTGTATAGCCGCAACTCCTCGTTGGCGACGACCAAACGAGCAGTGGTTATAAACACACGTGTGTGCAGAGCGCAGCTAAGAGTCCCACGGGAGTTTATGTGTGTTTATGCGGAGGCAAAAGTGGGTGGTGGAAAGGCCTTTGGAAGACGTGGAACGAGTGTGTATGTATATATGTACGACTGTGTGCGGCATACAAGTAGTCGACGCACCTGAAAATGTTAATTCAGACGCGCGCGGGGTATATGATTGTTTAAACGCGCAGCGCGTGTACGGCATACCCATATACGAAAAAGAGCCTCGCGATCATGATGATGCGTGTGTGCGTGTGTACGTGCGTAAACTACATAATCGGGTTGCTGCGGGCGGTGAATGAATGGCACTGTGTATATATATATATATATATATGTACGGATGAAAAGCTCGGGTGTACCTATAGATATATACACGTACGGTGCAGATGGGTGAAAAACGCGAAGCGAGAGTTTGGGAAGGAAAAAAAGGAGGGTAGAGGGGNAAAAAAAAAAAAAAAAAAAAAAAAAAAAAAAAAAAAAAAAAAAAAAAAAAAAAAGAGAGAGAGGATAAGCCGCAAGCCACGGGGACCCGCTATAAGCTCCGTAATATCCTCTCTGCTACATGTATAACAATACACAGTGTAGGTACAATTGACGGATATCCCTTGAGGGAGCAGAGTGCGTAAAGGTACATACACACAATGGCGCGTATACCACACGTAACATATATACATTTATCCAAACATAAATTACACACGTGTAATAGACGCAAAAGGGGTAACATGTACATAATATATACATGTTATCGGCAGGATCGTCAGCAGGTAGAATTTCGTCGCGCGAGGGACCACCTATCTGCGCGTGTGCGATAATAACACACACACACACACGCGCGATACGCGCTTCCATTACCTGCGTCATTATCATCGCGAGTGGGGCTATCGGTATCGGTTGCTTATATATACCCACATACAGGGGAGGGCTATATATTATAATAACATGAATATATATGTGTGTACGCACAATGGCACCGGCAGTAGCATCAGGAGCCACAAACGCCGGGTCATTTATTCATGAAACATATACGTGTATCTCTTCTCCTGCCACCCGCGCCCCCCACCCCCCTGGAACCGAACATCATCGATCACGCAGAAAGAGAGAGCCAACACAACAACAACAACAACAACGTCGGAGAGGCTGCGAGTGCTCTGCTCGACCGAACGAAAATAAACGATCGCGAGTATACGCTGCACTCCACACACACACACACACGTCCATTAGTGCTCGCTGATTGCACTGCACACACACACACAGACACACTATGGGTGGTAGGGGGCCGAAAGGAGCGAGCCCGCCAGAGAGAGAGAGAGAACAATTGGGAAAAAAACAGAAAGAAAAAAAAAGTCCAGCCTCAATTAGCCGCGTAATTAAGCCGCGCGCGTATAATAGTTTTCACCAAAACCCCCGCTACCCCCTGATGTATATAACCCATTCCACGGGGGGCCTCCCCATCATCAACCGAGCGAGGGGGTTGGGTTTTCTCTCTCTCTTCTTGCCCGCGCTGCTCCAAATGAAAATAATGACTCTCGATTGGAGTCCTGTACCCATGTGCAGGGGCCGGCTTTGCAATTTTCCTCGTCTCTCTCTCTCTCTCTCTCTCTCTGTTTGACCGTATGTTCCCCCTCGGTATATATACATGTATATGTATCGTTTGGTGAGCGCACATAGCGTGTAGGTACGTATATATACATACGCGGGCCACGTTACTCCATATAATCCACGGACCGCATAGGTACATGTGTATAATATATATATATATATACACACACGAGTTAAAAGGCAAGAGGCCGTAACGTCGCAGAGGAGAATAATACAGCCACTCTATACCTACGGGCGCAAAGAAAGGAAAAAAGAAAGAAAGAAAGACCATTCTCTCTCTCTCTCTCGCTCTGCAGTGCTCTTGTGTAACGAGCGCGAGTGTACCTGTATATATATATATATATATGCATACAGGGCCGAGGATGGCTATCCCGCGTCTCCTGCGCTTTTAGTTTCACGGTCCGGCGAGTCGCCTGTTGCGGCCGTGTATAGCTGACCGCGCCTTATCTCTCTCTCTCTCTCTCTCTCTGCTCGCCTTGGAGAATAATTGAGAGAAGAGCGGGCAGTGGTCGAGAGCCTTAACAACCGACCGCAGATAGATAGATAGAGCGAAGTAGAACGGAGAAAAAGGGGGCGGTGGGAGGCAAGGGGGTCCACCGTACATATACACGCGTAATCACTCCCCCTAGAGAACTCGATTCTAGTCTATGTGTATCCAAATGAATTCAACGTACCCAATAAATATACCTACCTCGCTTGTACATTTACATGTATATTATACGGTGTGTCTATATATATATATAT